GTCAGTCGGTGAATGGACCATCACCACCAAACTTAAGAACGCTTTTCTACTCATCCCCCCCCCCCCACCCATTCACAATAGAGGGAAGATAACATAATACCTGGTGGTTACATATTGCTGCTTGTAATATTGTTATCTTTAACACTGTTGAGATACTATAGTTACTTCGCTTAAAATTATTCTACGAGTACATTTGTTGAAATAATACATAACGAGAACTCCGAAATGTACCTAATGTACTGTACTGTCTAGAATAAAGTGATTTTTTTGGGGTAACCACAGTTAGATGTGATTTTTCTGAAGGTTTCTTTTTGTCTGAGACAATGAAACCAGAGCTACAGGAATTTGAGGAAAAATGTACAGTGGTTCACACAATTTATGTATGATCAAACTGTTTCACCTACTTTCACTAGTTCCCAGGATTATAAATTTTATTATGAACTTTTTCAGTTGTTAATTGGTTGGAGGCAATCGACAAGAAGCTTTGAACCCAAGTTTCGTACTTCTTGGAAGTTGTAAGTAAGGAGTGTCCACAACTTGAGAGAATTGGTATCCCTAGTGGGATTTGAACCAGAGTCACACAGTACTGAAGTCAGAGACATTACCAAAAAAATTCGGGCAGTAACCGATCTCCTGTAGGATTAGGGAAACCTCCTCTTATCTGGTTTGGTTCACATATCCATAACTATAATAATTAACACACACACATACCATCATAGGGGTAATGGGTGCGTATTGCTGAGATGTCCTAAACTGGGACGAAACAGCTGTCAAGTGCTCCCAGGTTTCCAATATTCCTCCAACTGATGTCAGTCCATGATTAATTCCAATCTAAAAACAAAGTCTATCAGTTAAGCCTGTTATTGCTATGATTTTCATGTCTATTTCACAATTATTCGTAAATGTTATAAACCGATAATGAGAAAGAGGATACTTTAATCATTGAGGAAAATCCTGAAGTTTCTTTTAGTCACCAAGCTGCAAGTGATATTGAAACTTGAGCACTCTTTATGTTGAAATAAAAAACCAGCACCACTTCAAAATATTCCTGTGATAATTCATACTGTAGCGCAGTCTTCTTTAAATAAGCCTATTAATAATGATTATCTACAAGGTAAACAAACAACATGGTGTCTTAGGGATCATCACAAGTGTTTTTCACCTAAATACCAAATAAACCATTGTTCATCTGTTTTTTTCACGGGAAATCACACGAATTCAAATAGTTTTCATCTCGAAACCAACAAAGCTAAAGGACTGATGAAAATTATAGAAACTGTTACCCACTGCTATGAGTCTTCCCAACAGTGGGTTCGAACGTAAGACAGTTGTGTCTTGTCCCAATCTTGTTTCCATTGTCACTAGATTTAAATCCATCACTCCATATCCTTGGATCTGTACCATTTCCTGACATATCGCTGTCATAATTCGACACCTTAGGCAAACAAACACACTCTTAGTTTTGGTCGAGGCGACAGATAACTTCTACCTTCAAATGTTTATTTGGAAACTATGGGCTACTTTTGCTTCACAACTGCTCATTACGTGAATGAAAAACCCTTAACTTCTCATAAAAAGACTAGAATTAAACAGAGTATCAATCCATAAGACCCCTATTTGTTGGTCTCAACTGTGCAGATCAACTGACCAGGGTCATCAGAACATCAATGGTGAAAGATTCTTAGTGAAGATTGGTGAAACCAACTACAGACGAAAAGATCTACTCACTCTCTGAATCTTACTTAAAAAATCTTTAACACCTTATTACTTTATGTGGATTTGATCCTTACCAACTTATAAGCTTTCCCTTGTTCATTTTAATTTCTTTCCACTTGCCAGTTTTCTCTTCATTTCGTTTTGTAAAGTGTGACCGACTTAACTCTACCACCTTTGTGTGCACAATTCAGTGGTGATGTATTTATCTATTCTTCTCTATCATACAGAATATTAAGTTACGACCTCAAAACCTAACTGCTAAGTTCATCAGTAGTTGTCCACTAAACGATGATCAAAGTGAACTTGAAATCGAAATTCAGTATGCAATATGGAGTAGCGATTGAAAAGAAAGTATATTGCAGCGTTCACTAAGTGATCGAAATATCAGACTGAAAAATATAGAGTGCAATAACAGGCTGAAAAGACAAGCTTAAGAGTAGGAGAAAATCATAGAGAGATAAACGAAAGATAAAATGTCTTGGTGAAGGATGAATGAATACGTAACTATTGAAATGCTAAACATTCTGAAAACGACAGCATGAAGATATCTGAACCACTATCTATACTGGGTGATGATTGAAGGTGAGGCGGAAATCTGGACCACAGCCGGTTCGAACTAGCCACCACCAGGCTATCGGCCCGGTGCTCTGCCAACTGAACTATGAGGTTCAACTGCTGACCATATTTTATTTCACTTCAATCGCCTAATCTGCCAAACTACGGGTATCTCAGATAGTCAAAATGATAACCAACATGATGCTCACCCTCTCTAATTCAATTAGATTGGGATTGGGATGAGAAGTCCTGACTAGGCAGTCAGTGTGAATACGACCAATAGGTAGTAACGCGTCATGAATTCATATGGTAGTCGTGGCAAACCCTTGGTGATTGAAGTGGAATAAAATTCTGGTCAGCTCAGTTGGTAGAGCAGCAGGCCGGTAACCTGGTGGTGGCCGGTTCGAATCCGGCTGTGGTCCAGATTTTCATTTCACCTTCAATCATCACCCTGTATAAATACTAGTCCGCCAAACTTCGGCAATCTCAGAGAGTCAAATGATAATGAAGTCATCACATCACTAAGGTGCCTCAACTCTTAACTTTTATATATAGCAGCAGAAAAATGAAGGTTAGAAGCAATTTAAAACAAACTGTGATTGAAGGACGTATATTGAACACTGATTTTGCTGGTTGGAACATCTATGTCCCCAGTTTCGATTACTATTTTGAAACAAATCGGTATAACTTAACTTATAGATTACATTAAGTTGTTGTTGTTATTAGACTGATGATTCTCACTCTCATTTACCAACAACAGGAGTATAAAACGTTTATGACCAACAATGAGAATAATAAGTCAGAATTTACTTAAACAGTGGAAATACAACATTGTGATAAAGTACAAAGTCAGTAGAACTATTGTTGAAAATACGACTTAGTTCAATTTATAATATCGGTGATTCATGTTCTTGTGAATCCTGACACTTCATTATGATCAACTGGATAGGAGTTACCTAACTTGATTTACAAAGCCATCGATTCAAAGTTCGGTTGTAATCAAAGTTGAAAACTTCCACACCTTTCGATATATGTTTATCTACAAATTTCAAGTATATCTACAAGTATTATGACAGAAGTATAACTAACTACTAGGGTAGTCTGTCGTGTAGCCAGTTGACTTAATGGAGCTTTCACTTAATTTAAGATTAGTCAGACAATCATACGACATGTAAGAAAGCTATTTTATTTTCAATGAATAAAACCGTATAAGACCATGACTAGGTATTCTCTCCTGAGAAGTACTACTTGGTTAACATGAGACAATAAACCTCATGAATTACTCATCGAAGTTCACAGAATTTGACTAATTAGGTTGTGAATTGGGATTAAGAAATAAGAAGAACGTTTGCTGGGACCAAGGTGTCGTACAGTTAGTACTTGTTAGTTAGCTGTAAGTTTCTTTCTGAATGGAAATCCTTAAGTAATATATATTTTCAGCCTAAAAGATAACCCTTCCTCTATTTGAAATTCATATATGCATCACGGCGATATTAGACACGTTAGTGTTAACTATTCTAGTCTGGACACAAAAAACCTTAAAAGGGTTATATGTGGACTAAGTTCAAGGAATAATCCTAATAAGCATTTCATAATCTGGACACTTATGATACGAAATGAATTTCAGTCTGCAATCACAGAATGTACAGTGAGTGAGTGACCTTGACCCCATTTAAAAACAAATCCAAGAGAGTAGACTATTCAATTTCCTTTTTCTTTCTATCTGTTCAGTACAATTTTTAAACGACATACAAAAGTCCACAATGTTATTATCAACAGTAGTAATAACCATAATAGTAATGGAATGCAAATAGCATATGAAAATGAAAAAATAAGAGTCGTACTGTAACAGCAGCAGCAGTAGTAGTAATAATAATAATAATAATAATAATAATAATAATAACAATAGCAGTAATATTGGTGTTTCAGAGCTTTCGGAAAGGATCGCGATTACTCCAAAAAATAAGTGTCATACGACGTATAGGCATGCGCATATGTATATGTATATATAGTAACCAGATATCAAAATATAATAGACAAAAATAACTAAAATATACTAACAATAGTAGTAATAATGATATTTATGATCGGAAAATTCATTTTTTTTATATCTCTTTCTCTACAAGGCAAAAAGGAAATGGTAAACAACAAAACGATGAAGGCAACATCAAAATGTGAATTAATCTTTCCTTCCAAGGATATGAACGTAACAAAAAAAAAAAAAAGAGAAATACACTGGATATTTACATTTGTAACAATAGTAGAAGAGTGAAAAACTATACGAGTCGAAAAAAAAAACTTAATGAAAACTGAATATGAAATGAGATCGAATCATATGGGTTTTTTTTTTACTCAAAACATCACAAAAGGATAGGAAATACAAATTTATAATCACAAGCTGGAGGTAATAATCATAATAATAATAATAATAATAATAATAATAATAATAATAATAATGCCAGCTACATTTCCCTGAGTATACAAAAAGCAAATTAATACACTTTCTAGAGTACAAGTTTAAAATATACTGTATAGATGATAGAAGAAACTTTGTCAATACTGATAATGATATTTGTCATAGGATAGGCGAGTTATGTAAGAATCATAACGAAATCACATCAGTAGACAATAGAGTTATTTGTTAACAATGAAAAAAATATGATAAAAATGCATTTCATTTGTATAGAATTTTGAGTTGAGAACAAAAACATTTTCTTCTTTCATTTTTATCATAAATCAAAATGTCCAAAAGGAGAATATTTATTGGTACTTTTAGAGTTATTTTGATTATGTTGAGTGTAACCAGTAATTCTACTATAACCACCACCTTTATTATTATTATTATTATCATTATCATCATCATTTCCAGTCTTTCGATGACCAGGCATCACTGAATGTACTAAACAGTTTGATGGTAAACCTGAATCTGTAGAGATTACTTCATAGACACTAGGAAATCGACTAGAAGAATAAGGATTTGATGAAACAGTATAACTTTCTGTACCATAGTGTAGTAAATGAGCATCAGACTGATTAGTATCTGTAGAATTTAAAAGGTAAGGCTCCCCACGACCTTGATAATTTTGATTGGGATTAAAATAAATACTTGAATATGGCATTGCATTCATATTATTATTATTATTATTATTATTATTATTATTATAATTATTATTATTGTTTGTGACCATTTGTGTACTCTGTTCGGTGTCTTGTAGTAGAAGTCTGGCACCAAAACGACCAAAATTTCCAGTAGTATTAGTCTCAGAACTTTCTCTATAATGATCAGCATATCGTCCTTGCATAAAATTAACAGATGGAGATGGATCATATGTAGTAGATTCTGAACAAAAATCCGGAGTTGGTAAGTTAATTTTCACCTCCATAGAATCAGTTGGTTTCAGAGAGTCTTTTAAAATACCAGGAATATTAAATTTCAAATGTCCACTACGGAATCCTTCAACAAATATACCAGGAAATTCAACTTTTGTTTCAGCTGTAATAGGCTTAGGCATTTCTCTTCGTAAACGACCCATTGGTGGACTATAGGACTTTTCATGACTAGTTTGATCATTATCTTGTGAACTTGTCTGTCCAAACTTTTCATCAAATTGAAATATAGTTTGATTATCATCACTAGTATTTAAAAAATTGTTATTAATACTGACTGATGCACAATTATCATCTTTATTATCATCTCCAAGAGGATTGGAAGCACCGCTAATTCCAAAAAATCTTGATTTCCTTTTTTTTTTAGAATTAGGATGTTCTATTAAAGTGAACATTGAAAGAAATGAGTAAAACAGTAGTAATATATGACGATATTATTTATATTCTATTATGTACATAATTATATATCATAATAACATAATGTTTCGATTGGTTGGACCGGTAAAGTAAACAATTTTATCAGCAGCACCACATCATCATCATCATTGTTGATAATAATCATTATCCTAAGCTAGTTAAAAATTTAAGTAAGTTACCTAACATTCTTGTAAAAGACAAAAGATGATAAGCTTTAAGAAATGTTAACATTTCCATTGAATAATGAACGCTTGTTCTAATCATTAACACATACTTTTATATTTTTGGCTAATTCTTTTCTTTTACGCTTTCTAATTCAAGAAATGAAAATGAACATAATTATATCATATAGTAAGTATTGAATAAATCAAATAATCTATTGTCTACCGGTATACTGTAATAATAGGTAACTCATAAAACGAGTACATATATTTAGTAATGATGGGCAGTGGCTAGCAGTGGAATCCAGGATGCGCATTTCGTCCTATACTCGTTGCACAAGAAGTGGCGATCGTGGCTCGCTGGTGTAGTGGATAACGCGCTGGCGTTTGAAACGACCGCTCCCGAGTCCGAGTCCCGGTGGGACAACATCACTCACTGGGAAGCAAGTACATCCAGCTGACAAGTCCCAAATAGGACGAAATGCGAATCCTGGATTCCACTGCTAGCCACTGCCCATCATTACTAAACATAGTTAAAAGACAGGCCATATCGAGGCATCCGCATAGGAGCCCATATGCCAACAGAGGCTGATCAATTCGGTCCTATCAACGACGGTGTAATACAAGCGATAACACTAAGAGTACATATATTCACTACCAATCTTTTGTTGTTTCAAAAAAGGGTCAACAGTATTTTAAGTATCTGAGATAGCCATGGTTTGGCAGACTGATATTCATACTAGGTGAGGGTTGAAGGTGAAATGAAAATCCAGACTGTGGAGGGATTCGAATCACAACCACCGAGTTCCCAGCCTAATGCTCCTACCAACAGAACACCGGACCCGGAACCCGGTAGTCACTGATTCCAATACCGCTGCGGTCTGAATTTTCAATTCACCAACCCTCACCCAGTATCAATATTACTCACTAGTTTTAGGTGTATTTTCTAGTTCAGTAATATAAGTCTATGAATGATAGTCTTACTGACGTGTAATCCAACCTTACTAAATATGTATAAAAGACTAATTTTTTCTTAACACAGAATAACGATGAACAAAGAGTTATATAGTGATATGACTCAGAATCAACTGCAGTGATGGAGATGCACTGATACCTTATCTTCACCTTGACTCTCACATATAATCACATTTAGTCCTTTTTACTTAGAACCTTCTCTCTTGTAGTAATTTCAAAGCTCATGTTGATTTTAACTAACTGAATAACAATGCTAAAATTGTGTTACGCTTGTGAATCTTCAGTCCTAATGACAATAGGTGAAATCTGATATCGCATAGCTGCTTTATCTCATTTAATGACTCCTCAGAAGAAAGTATTCACAGTACATACAACAACATCAGAACTAAATTGAAAAGGCTTATTTGAAGATTATTCTTTCACTGCATCGGGGTTCGATTCTACTGTCTGATATTCCAAGCATTTCAACTTTTGAAATCTACACGATTTTATAAACTGCGTTAAATACCTATTCAAACTCCTTCGTCATTAAAACACATCTAAACAATGTCAACCTGTGACTGTGACACCGTGGTGTGTCGGAAAGAGTGAAAAATAGACATCCTGATTATCGCTATATGCCATAATTAATCCAAAAGATTGGAGAAATGATAGTAGATACTAACAAGAGAATATGGGCTTAAGCGTGGAAACTAGGAGTATTACTTTCCACTATGAAACAGATCTTGAATAAGATGCCTCAGCTACTACTCAGATAAGAAGCATACGGTCAACTTCTTGCAAAAAAGGCTCAAGAAAGAGAAAGTAATGCTTCAACAAGGTAAGACATTCTCTTGAACCAGTCGTAATAAAAGCTGATCCACCTAAAATCTTAAGGTTCTTTACGTCATGAAGGCTAAGTCCCTCCAAACTGATGTTTTATCGGAGAGTACCCGATGAGCATCAACTAATGCCACTTTATATCCTCAAACAGGATCTCAGGTTCAATTCAGATGGCAATGTGGATATTCGGTAGGTCGCAGTAAAGCCTTGGCTGAATAGAATAGAAACACGATTGAGAAACCATTGAATGCGCTCACTCATTCGTAAAACAGTACCACCAGTTCAGAGAGTATTAACACCCTCTGGATGAATTAATCCTTAATCCCACAACAGTATGGTACTAATGATTTCTTGTTGCTGTACAGGGCCGGATTTCTCGTGCCCCACTGACTTAATGGATAACGCACTGGCGTTTAAAGTGATGGGTACTGGGTTTCGAGCCTCAGTGAGAACAGCATCACTCACTGGGGTGTAAGTACATCCAGCTGGAGAGTCCCAAACAGGATGAAACGCGCGTCGTGGATTCCTCTGCTAACAATACCATTATTCTCTTCATACAACGTAGCTAGTCACGATACCTAAAAGATTAAACATCCACCACATCACACTTTTCAGCTAACTATTTTATTTTCTTCAAACTATATGTTCCACTGCACAGTGTCAATCATTAACCGCTTTCATCAAATGTACACATTTCAACAAAAGGCAATGGTGAACAACTATCGAAACAGCATTATTTATGCCTACGCTTGACATCGGCTACTTCTGACAACTACAAAGTGAAAATACACTAACAATGTCATTTTATATAGTTCAGTTCAGTTTGGAGGTTTATAGATTTCGATGTGACATTCATGAGGGACTGATATCAGTTGGAGAACCACTAAAAAAATGGGAGTTCTAAATAACATTGGATGACTGTCACCTTATATCACAAAAATTGACTGAAGTAGGAAAAAGTGGACCATTGTACTTCAACCAGTGATTCGATGGTAACGTGCTCACCATTAGACCTGAAAGTGCTGGAATCGATCCTTTAAGAGGTCGTGGGTGGGCACTGATGAGGAGTGCCATACTAGGATGAAATATCTATTCAGTACTCGAAGGTTTCCAATGGTTCTCCAAGTGATGTCAATCCGTGATGAATACCACCTTAGAATAAATGCAAATTTTTCCACCGAAGATATTCTCTTTTTCAATGAATACATCCAAAATGATAAATGTATCAGATGAAATTAGTGTAATATTCACATGGCTAGTTAAGACGAAATGAAGAGAAGAAATTACTGCAAATAAGTCAAGAAACTCGAAAAGAAAACTTCAAAGGACGATCAAATTAGAATGATAAGTTAGTATTCATCGTAGACTGACATCAATTGGAGGGACAATGAAAACCTCGGAGCACTGAACCACTGTTTAGTCCTAGTATGGGACTCCTCAGCAGTGCCCACCCACGATCCTGCCATGGATCGAACCCGAGACCTTCGGGTTTCGTGGCCAGCACGTTACCATTGAGCCACTGGGTTGGAGTCCACTGGTCCATATTTACAACTTCTGTCAGCTCACGTCATAGCGCAACCGCCACCCAATGTTATCGTTGAGTAACTGTCCTCACGCTGTGTCGTGAACTGACAGAAGTTGGAAGTATAGACCATTGGATCCCGACCCAGTGGGTCAATGGTAACGTGCTGGCCACGGAACCTGAAGGTCGCGGGTTCGATCCCTGGCAGGATCGTGGGTGCGCACTATTGAGGAGTCCCATTCTAGGATGAAACAGCTATCCAGTGCTCCCAGGTTTCCATTGTCCCTCCAACTGATGTCAGTCTTCGATGAATACCAATTTGAAATATTTCCAAATACCCACAACCTCCTCGAAATAGAGTGATAAGATCATGCTTCTTTTCAAAGAAAAAAACAACATAAAAATAACGAAGTAAACTGAACTCAAAATTTTGCACAGAATTAATCTTAATTGGTACTGGATGATGATTGAACGTGAAATAAGAATCTGGACCGCAGTAGTATTCAAAGCAGCGGGCTACAGGCGGCTACCGGTGCGGTCCTCTACCAACTGAACTACGAGAACCAGTCTGTTGACTAGATTTGAATTTCACTTTCCAATTACCCAACTGCTATATGAACTCGTGATGCGTACTTTATCGTTAGTCCATCGTATTCACACTGATTACCCAGTCAGGTATTATTATCCCAATCGAAATCAAGCTGAATTAAAGAGGCAAAGTATCATCATAATGATGATCAGTTTTTACTATCTGAGATAGCCAGATTTTTATTACACCCTCAGTCATCCATCAGGCAACATAGTATCAATAATAGAAGTCTGAAAAACCATAGCTATCTTAGATAGTCAAAATGGTAACTTTTAATTGAAGCAGATTTATACAGTAGACTCATGGGGTAATATTTATTACCCGATGGGCTTGTGATACTCTACCGATAGCTAGGTTGAAGTAGATGGTGTCAAGGTCTCTAGTCCACTACTTGGTATTTCAGTCTTTCAGTCGACTAGTCATATTTTTATCGAGTCACTAACTTTCTCTTGCATTGTGAAAACACTGAAATCAATTTTATTCTGTCAGGCCTTAACATTTAAAGAAAAAAGCATTCACTTTTTCTGGTCTAGTCATATCTACTGTTCGACTTAAAGGAAATTTTGTAAAAGTAAGTTTCATATATACACTCCATCGATAACGAATGTTTAGTTTTGACAAAAGAGTAGCCTATACACAAATATACCGATTGACATGGCTCTAGAAGCAGTTAGAAATGTGCTCAATGATGACAATGAGCTTAAGCATCGAACTAAAGTGTCCATCGAAGAAATCATACGAGAAGTACAATTGTGCCTAAACATCTACAGTTTTTAAGTTTCAAAATAATATATATCAACAAACTGAATGGGTTGTCATGCGATCATCAATATCCCCATCGTCGCAGACATATTCATAAATATTTGGGAACGGATAGCCCTTCAAACATTTACTCCAACACCAAGGATA